TTATTAATTTTATTACATGCGATAAAATTGATGCCCGTTGTAACAAAGCAGGCAGGATTAAAAAGATTAAATATCGGTTTTATCGGGAAGGGCTACAAAAAGCTGGTTACTGTTAATCACGATAAAAACATCAGGCAAACAAATGGAGTTAAAAAAAAAGAGAATAAAAAATGTCGTTTGGTCACTCGGATATTTTTCAAAATACTCCGCGTTCTTGACGGCTCTATGATAACAAAATTTTAGAATCGGTACATTTTACTTGGGTATTTGTCAATAATTGCATTTCGCACACAATTCGAAGTAAACTCATTTTGCGGCGGGCCGCGATGCCCGCGGACGACGGTGGTGAGGGCCGGAGGGAGTGGTGGGGGAGTCCGCGACGCGCGCGGCCATGTGCTCGCGTCGTAGCTCTCGATCAGTCGACGCCGCGCGCTCGCACCGGACAGATCCTTGTCGAGGGGTACCTCCCCTGCGGAACAAGCGTGTTATATCTGCGACATTGCGCGACGGCCCATACGTCGCCCTTACGTTCGCCACGCCACACGACGTGCGCGTGCGACTCGCCACGCGTAGTGCGCGACGGTCACGTGTGTCACGTCTTGCGTCGGAGAGAGAAAGAGAGCGCGACGGCCGCGAAGTCCTGTTGATGCACTTTTCCCGAGAGCGCACGATGACGACGCGGTAATCGCGCGTGATCGTTCCTCGCATCCTTCGCTCCTTGTGTGACGCGCCTTTCCCGTCGCGAGATAGACGGAAAAGAGAAGCGGGCGCTCGCGCGAGGAGGAGAGCACGACGCCTCTTCTTCCCTGAGGCCCCCCTCCTCCCCCCTCCCCTGTAGCGTGGACAGCCGTCTCTCGAAAAATGCCAAGGTGATCGTCTCCCCGTTCACGTCCTTCATCTTCTGGCGTCTCGAGGAAAAACGATCGTCCGCACGCGCGAAACGTATGCTCCTCTCGCGTCGGGGTCTCGTCGGTCCTTCGCGTTTTCACGCCCGTCTCGCCCGATTTTGTTGAGATTTTCCATCGCCAATCGCGTGACGTCGACTTGCGCACGCTGGAGCGTGATCCTTGCCGGAACACCACGCACATACGTCGATCTCGATCGAGAGCCATCGAACCAGGATGCATCACACAGCGCCCTGGTACCTGCCCTGGGGCCTGAAGCTGGTGCCGCTGCCGATTCCCCCGGGACACCCAGCCTCCGGCATTCCGAATCCCGCTGGCCTGCACCTGCTGGCGCCCTTACCCGGAATCTACGCACCGGAACCGCGGAAGGTAGGCCAAAAGACTGTATCGTATCCCTAACAGTCCCGATTTCGTGACTTCCGTTGGCTTTTTCTCGCGGGACGTCCGCCCCCTTTCCCATTTCCCCTGACATTTGACTCCTCGTCAAATGGAAAATCTCATTTCGAGAACGTACCCCGGAATCGAAGGAGAGAATTATGTCGAGATGCGCAAGAATTGAGTTAAGTGGTCTGGAAAGAAGTTCGGGAAGTTGATTTCGAGCACCGGAGCGGGATTCCGGGTCTCGAATGAGATACACCGTGCGCCCCATTCAAGCCGGCGAAGTTTTAACTTTACTTCGGGTCGCCGAGGTTTAAAGTTCGTTATGGCGAAGTAAGCGCGTTCTTTGCATTATCGTCGTCCTTCGGCGAGGCGAAAGCCCCGCTCATTGGGAACGAAACGACGAAGTGGCCGTAATTGAAAAGTTGCAATGTTATTTCGCGGCAGCGGAGACACCGCCTCGCCGATTCGCTTTCGCGGAATCACCTACGGGACGTGGTGGGTGCTTTGAGAACGACTTCACTCGTCAATGGAAACATATTTAGGACGTGATTTATTTTTATCTGATGATGCTACGCGAACTACGTATCTGTCGGAATAGATCATTTAGGAGATGTGATGGTTGATAGAGAGTAGGTTATAGGCGATTGCATCGAGTGTTATGCGCGGTGACGTGAGCAGCAAGATGATGTGCCTCGTTTCTTACTTCTCCGTGAATCACCCGTCATCGTATCGCAATAACGAGCATTAGATGATCTTTTTCTTCAAAGGCACGGATAAAATGATAAATAATCCTGATTCAATGGATGAATCTTACATGATATTATAAAACATCTTTGGAAATTGCAGATGGATATGGATTTTTCACTTAGCTTATTTATATTTATATTCTTTTCTCTGATGTGTGCGAGTAATTTATTTTCCATTAAAATATATCAATAAATCCTTTTCGTGATGCGCGAAATATCTTTGTGGTGCGGAAAGTGTCATAAAAGTTAATGGGAAGAATCAAGATTGAGAAACGGACAACGCGAAGCGGACTCGCCGAAATTAGATCCGTCGCAACGGACGTTTCATATATTATTACAATTGTTAACAATAATGTGTCGTAAGTCTTCTCTATCTATAAATAATTAGATCCGCCGCGTGCCAAATTCGATCCAGTTATCTGGCCTGTCTGTCCTTAGCGCGCTTCTATTCTAGGTAAAATCTAAATAGTCGGCGCGTACGAGGGCGAGTGCATCTAAAATAACTTCGCAGAATGCGAGTCGTCGCGTGTTATTAAGGATAGCATGACGGGTATTCATACCGGTCGACGCGCGTACACGTCCGCGAGGAGTCGGCAATCCCTCCCGATTTGAGGATCTTCGGAATTTGCCACGGATACCATCGCGAAACGATGGCCATTGAATATTTCACGTTGCCTCGTGAATTACGATCCGATATCTCGGAGGGTAGCAAAAATTGGCTCGATATCGGCGATAAGCAAGCACGGAGTCAATTTGCGCGTGGTGAACCTCCATCGAGCTCCGTGACAAATGAAGATTACACTTTTCTTCCATCTCTTTGCTCTCCGCTGTTTGTCTAGCTGAGAGAGAGAGAGAGAGAGAGAGAGAGAGAGAGAGAGAGAGAGAGAGAGAGAGAGAGAGAGAAGAAGAGAGAGAGAACGTAGTACGTACGTACGACGTA